AGTCATTATTCAGAAAATTAAACATTTTGCCTAACGTCACATAAGCTAGTAAAGATCAGAACTAGGGTTTGAATCCAGGTCTGCTTTGATTCCAAAGCCTGAGCTCTTCTATACAAACTACACAGATCAAACATGTTACAGAATCTCTCCTGCCCCAGGGCTGTGGCCCTTGCTCCCCTATGACACCGATGTTTTAGGATGATGGGTAGAACCTGCCTGGATTTTCCCAAGGAGGTCAGACTAATCCCTAAGTCAAGCAGATCTTTTTCCATCTGTCCTTACTGAACTTTGGTACTAGTCAGTGGTTTCTGTTTTCCACAACTGCCCATGGCTGTCTTTGTGTGAAGGGACCCTTATTGTGGCCAGTTAACTCAGTGTCCTAAGATAGACAGACTTACCAGCTTCTACACCTTTTTTTTTTTTTTTTTTTGAGATGGAGTTTCGCTCTTGTTGTTCAGGCTGGAATGCAATGGCGTGATCTTGGCTTACCACAATCTCCACCTCCCGGGTTCAAGAGATTCTCCCGCCTCCATCTCCCCAGTAGCTGGGATTACAGGCATGCGCCACCACGCCTGGCTAATTTTGTATTTTTAGTAGAGACGGGGTTTCTCCATGTTGGTCAGGCTGGTCTCGAACTCCCGACCTCAGGTGATATGCCTGCCTCGGCTTCCCAAAGTGGTGGGATTACAGGCGTGAGCCACCGCGCCTGGCCACTTCTACACTTTTATCTACCACCCATTCCCCCCCATCTCGCAGTTCACCTTTTCCAGAGAATTCTTGAAATGCTACAGGAGTATAGGTCCCTGTTCCTTAAAAACATAAAATCAATTAAGAGTAGTGTCTGGAACATTATACAAGAACTCCAGAGGACTCATGGAATAGAAATCAACTGCAAATACTCATGAATCTTCACTGAAAGTCCTCTTCCGTCAGAGTAAGAATGTCAGCTTGGTGGAAGACAGGGAAGGTGAATTTGTGAGGCTTTGTGTGTAGGAAAAACCTGTAGCCAGGAAGTTACTGAGGCTGGCCCTTCCTGGCATTTCTGTTGATGGCCTTCACACCCCTTCCTCCAGGTGGCGCCCCTCCCAATGTGGATCCTGAGGCCTACTCCTGGTTCCAGTCGGTGGACTCAGATCACAGTGGCTATATCTCCATGAAGGAGCTAAAGCAGGCCCTGGTCAACTGCAATTGGTCCTCATTCAATGATGAGACCTGCCTCATGATGATAAGTGAGTCTCCGCCTTGCCCTTGGGCCCGAGCTGGGGCAGAGCCACCTGATAGTGTACAGTAGTTGGGTAGGTAGACATTCTGAAGAGAAATTCATTGACCAGGGAGGACTGTGGGGAGGAAGCTAGGTTCAGGGTGAGATCCCCTAGACTGAGAGCTCTTTTCCTGAGATCTTTCTTAAGTTCTAGACCCTGCCTAGTTACAGGCTAACTCAGTTTCCTCTTCTGTAGAATGGTACTCCCTTCCCTGGTAGGAAACAGCAGGGAGGGGTCAGGTGCCAAGGCTGCAGAGAAAATGCAGTTCTGGATGGGGTGGGGCTAAAGGTGTCCAGAGTAGGAGGACGGTGCAACGCTTGATGTGGGTGTCTCAGGTGCAAGCATCTAGGCCCTAGGCCTTGGTTCTGTGAAGTCGCCTACTCCAGCCTGGGGAGAAGGGCTGCCTCAGTGGGGCCTGAGGGGGACCCTTGGCTTTCAGTCTTGAAGCCTTACTTCCCTCCTTTCCCTCCTCACCTTCAGACATGTTTGACAAGACCAAGTCAGGCCGCATCGATGTCTACGGCTTCTCAGCCCTGTGGAAATTCATCCAGCAGTGGAAGAACCTCTTCCAGCAGTATGACCGGGACCGCTCGGGCTCCATTAGCTACACAGAGCTGCAGCAAGGTGCGGGTCATGGCTGGGGCACGATGGGCAGGACAGAGCTAGACTCTTCTCTTTACACCCTAAGATACACAAAGGGATTTCCTCTTGCTACCGAATGTCCACCTGCACTACAGAATGCTGTTCTCAGTGCAGGCCTGCGTCCCTCACCCCTTCTGTGACCCAGTTGGGGCACTGAGCCAAGATCCAGGGCAAGGAAACACCTGGGTCCAGAATCAGGGCTGGACCCTGGAGTGCTGGGTGAGATGGGCCCAGCCACAGGGAGCCTTAAGGATGGAAAATTGGCACCTTAAGGGCTATGAGACCAGTGTGTGTGGCTGAGGTGACTCCTTCCTCTCCAGTTTCTAGCATGTAGAATGGAAAGAGCCCTGAACAGGGCTCAGAAAGATGGACCTGTTGCCACCCCTGCTAGTGGGCAGTTTCTCTCCCAACTTTGGGACCCCGAGCACTCTAAAAGTTGCAGTTGGGGAAGATGACCTGAGGCCACAGCCCCAGGTCTGGTTCCAAACTGACTCTGTAAGGCAGGAGGCCACAGTTTGGGCTCAGGCAGGTTAGTAAGAGGTTGGGGGGGAGGACCCAAGAGGGAGCTTTGCCACCCAGGCGGGAGAAAGGGCTCCCCAGAGAGTCTAGTCCTTTGCCCAGGCTGTGGATTTCATTCAGACTAAGGAGGTCGGTGGACAGGAGTGAGTGCACCACATCTGCCCCCAGCAGAAGGGAGGGGAGATGGCCTATAGTAATGACCTACTCTTGCCAGCTTTTGCCATGGATATTAGTAAGGGTGATAGTAACCACAGCAAAACAGATATTTACTGAATGCTTGCTATTTTTAATAGGCTTATGTGATTCATTCTTCCCATGTGCTAGGTACTATTTATAATTCCACACCCTTCAATTAAGAATCCCTTATTATCTCCCTTTTACAGGTGAGAAAACTGAGGTTTAGTGTGGGTAACCTGCCTAAGGGCCTGCATAACAAATGGAGAGTTGAGGTTTTAGCCTGGCCTGGTAAGTTATGAACAGAGGAAGGAAGGAAGCAAGCATCCCAGTGAAGAGACAGGATGCTCCAAGAGACCTTGGAGTGGCGGTGACTTTATTAAAATAGCACTTACTGAGTGCTTTTTATGTGCCAGTCACTGTGCTAAGTAGCTTTACCCATTTTAATCCTTGCTAGAACCTACAAGTTAAGTATTATCCCCATTTTAGAGATGATAAGATAGGGATAGTGAGGCTAAGCAACTTGCCCAGGGGCTGACTCCAGAGCGGGTCCTCATACCTCTGCTGTGCTGCCTCTGATGTCTGCCCCAAGCAGGGTGGTCCTGGGAGCTCAGGCTTCCTTTTGGAATGCAAATGAGTCAGAGATGATTGTGGATAGTCCGTTGTCATCTCTGGAATCCCATGAGCCTCAGTTGAAGAGACAATAATGGAGACTGGGAGAAAGAGGGATGAGGGCCTTCCACCTAAGGGTAGCATCCAGACAGGGCCCCTGTTGTGTTCCTGATATCTTAGACCCTTGGGATTTCTCTGCCCTCTTTATGCTTCTGTGCCCGTCCTCTCGAAGTTCCTTGAACTGCTGTGATCCAGTATTGCTGATTGATGGAGGTGCTCATGGCAGGTTTTTGTGTGTCTGGTCTGTGTGCCCCTCTTCTCCAGCTCTGTCCCAAATGGGCTACAACCTGAGCCCCCAGTTCACCCAGCTTCTGGTCTCCCGCTACTGCCCACGCTCTGCCAATCCTGCCATGCAGCTGGACCGCTTCATCCAGGTGTGCACCCAGCTGCAGGTGCTGACAGAGGCCTTCCGGGAGAAGGACACAGCTGTACAAGGCAACATTCGGCTCAGCTTCGAGGACTTCGTCACCATGACAGCTTCTCGGATGCTATGACCCAACCCATCTGTGGAGAGTGGAGTGCACCAGGGACCTTTCCTGGCTTCTTAGAGTGAGAGAAGTACGTGGACATCTCTTCTTTTCCTGTCCCTTTAGAAGAACATTCTCCCTTGCTTGATGCAACACTGTTCCAAAAGAGGGTTGAGAGTCCTGCATCATAGCCACCAAATAGTGAGGACCGGGGCTAAGGCCACATAGATAGGGGCCTGATGGAGGAGAGGATGGAAGTTGAATGTCCTGATGGCCATGAGCAGTTGAGTGGCACAGCCTGGCACCAGGAGCAGGTTCTTGTAATGGAGTTAGTGTCCAGTCAGCTGAGCTCCACCCTGATGCCAGTGGTGAGTGTTAATTGGCCCATTATCGTTACTACCTGTGTTCCCTCACCAGGCCATCCTGTCACACGAGCCCATTTTCTCCAAGGTGGAATCTGACCAAGCATGAGAGAGATCTGCCCATGGGACCAGTGGCTTGGATTCTGCCACACCCATAAATCCTTGTGTGTTAACTTCTAACTGCCTGGGGCTGGCCCTGCTCAGACAAATCTGCTCCCTGGGCCCCTCTGGCCAGGCTCTGCCTCCGCGGCTGGGACCCCTCACTTGCCTGCCATGCCCTGCTCGGCTTCAGTCTCCAGGGGACAGTGGGCACCTCTCTCTGCCAATACTTTTTTTAATTTGCATTTTTTTTCATTTGGGGCCAAAAGTCCAGTGAAATTGTAAGCTTCAATAAAAGGATGAAACTCTGGGGTTCCATGTTTTCCACCGTGATTTCTCAGCTACAGGTCCATCCACTCCTCCTTTCACTGACTATTTAAGTACATCCTATACACCAGCCATGCGGAAAGCAGCAGCTTGTGGGGACATGGCCTATGTGGGGCTCCTATCCACTGCCAGAGGGAAGTGAATTGTAGGGTAGCCAGCTGGGGGCCCTGCCGGGTTCAGTTCAGTATGGCCTGAAGGTCTATTCAGGAAGCTATTTCATAGCAGTTTTAGGGCAGGCATTCTGGGTTGAAAGCAGCTACCTCAAACTTCATAGCCTGGCCTTTCTATTTTCTCAGGCCCTAGTTTTATCTTCCAGACAAACTCCATTTATTAAGTCATAACTTTCCCCCCATTTTTATTAAGCACAGACATCTGTACTTGCAAGTCAGATCTTTAGATCAGCATAATACCCAGTCTACACCGAGTGTCTGTAATGAGCTGACCACATTTCAATCAAAAGCCAAAGACACCAGACATTCTAGTTTGCCAGGGGGCTTTATTCTGGGTAATGGTGATTATCTTTTGGCTTTTTGAGATAAAGAGCTCTGAGGCCCTGTGCAGGGCTCTCCTCCCTGCAGTGGGTAGTTGGAAGTAACTATGACTGTTTTGCAGGTCAGTGAGGCCCAGCAGTGTGTCGGGCTTAGCCAGGTCAGCTGCATTCTCCTCTGGGCTGCTGTAGTGCTAGAATCCCAGCATTAGATGAAATCCGGTTCCCAGAGGCCAGCCCCTATCCAGAGCTATAATTCCCTTCATAGGCCCCATGTGAGTCTGGCCTCTGCTTCGCCAAAGGCAAAGAACCCAGTGCCTTTCCAGGCAGCCCATTTCCTCCATGACTGGCAGAACATCTTCCTGGTGTGGATTCTAAATCCTGCCATCTTGAAGACACCACCATTGGCTGTGGTTTTCTCTGTGGGCCACTCAGGACATACATCACCCTTTCTGCATGCCAACCCTCTACATAGTGGAGCCTGCCCTATATACCACATTTTCCCCAAGTCCTCCCTTCCCTAGGCCAGATAGCCCTGGGCTCTTGAGCAGTCCCTCGCTGAGCATCTCTCCCCTCGGCATCCTGTTCACCTCCCCTGAATTTTCTTCAGTTTATCTGAGTCCCCCAGAGTGGAGGGCTGAGGCCCCCCATGGTGCTGGGTTCAGCCAGCAGAGCGTGGAGTAGAACTGCAGCCATTAGGAGCAGCGCCTGTTGTTTCTTTGTTCCCACTGAACCAAGTGTCTGCTGAAACCCGATGGTGCCAATTGTAGTTTCTCACCTTTGTGCTCAGCTGAGGCTGAGGAGCCCAAGACCTGGATTGATCTTATGAGCATGGTTGGTTGGTTCTGAGCTTGGGGGCCAGCTGTCACACCTCATCCTGCACACTCACCTCCAAGCCTGCCTACGCACTGTGCCAACCGCTTTGGATCCTATGGCCCAGTGGGAGTGTGGAATGGGCAGGAGAACCCATCGTGGCAGCAGCTGGAGCTCTGCGCCGTCCACAGAGAGCTGGGCTGGTAAGTCGTGTGGAGAGGAGGTGGCATACTTAGGCCACACATTCCACCTGCTCTGGGTAAAGCGGGGTGCCTAGGATGAGCAGTGCTTCAACACTCCTGGGCCGGGCCCCTGGCAGCACCAAGGCTCTGCCCACCTTCTTGACGGTTGAGGTCAGAGGGAGCCCACAGCTCCATTAATCAAGTTAAGCAGACCTGGTGGTGTGCATAGCAGAGCTGGCCCCTGCCAGATGTCCTTGTTCCTCTCAGCAGAGTAGCACTTCAGACTGCACTCCACGTCCTGCTCTGGCAACAAGGCTCAGAGCCTTTGGCAGCCTTAAAATCATCTCGGTGGCAGACGGAGCATGTCTGGCCAAGTCTGTGGCTTTCTCTTTCTATCCTGTGAGTTCATAGAAAATAGACGCAAGCCTTGGTTTCCAAGAAGATGAGGATAACAGTAAATCAGCCCATTAACCCGCTATCTGCCCACCCGGCCCCCCTTACCTTCCCCAGGCCATTGGGCCTGTGAGCAGACAGTTGTGTCGAGGGGCGAGGTTCTGGCGTCACAGGATTGGCACCGCATGAGGAGGCAGCACCACGTGTGCCGAGGCCTGGCTGAGTCCATCTTGGATCCCGTGTGGTGGGGGTGGGAGGTCAGCAGATAAGAGCATTCTAGTGCCTTCTTGTCTTCCCTCCCCCTAGCTTCCCCACCTTCTTCTGCTCCTAACCTCAGCAGCACAGATTTTGTGCAATGACAAGGAAAGGGAACATTCAGTGCCAGGCTTTAATTACAGTTGCTTCGGGCTGTTGGCCTCTGTGCCAAGTGGCCATGGAGAGTGTTTTATCACACCACAAAGCCAACAAGGTCAGGTCTGTGGTGTGTGCCCTTGGCACCTGGTTAGGGTGGGGCTGCGCTCGTGGCCCACTGGAGAAAGGCTGGGCCCAGATTAGTTCACACAGGCATCAGAAGAGCTGGCCAAGCGCAGCCCTGGGCTTCAGGGAGCCACGGAACCAGATGGAAATGCCTGTTGGGACCTTTAGGGCAGACTCTAGGGAAGGCCGGTAATTGGGTAGGAAAGCGGTCTTTAGGAGGATGGCCAAGCTCTGGAAGGATGATGGGGACAGATTATACTGTGGGGTATGGCCAAATGAGAGAAGTACAACAATAATCGTGTCCACAACACTTCACAGTTTACAGGGAGCTTTCCACTTGCTTCAGCATGCTTAATCCTCACATCAACCCTGCTTAGGGGACACAAGCTCAGAGAGGGCAAGTGACTTATCCAGAGTCACACAGGCAGAAACCCAGGACTGAAGCCCCAGCCTTTTACCACATCCAGCTGTCTTTCCATGAGGGGTAGGGGCAGATCCCCCGAGCTGGAGCCTCCAGGGCAGCCCTCGCTCAGGGCAGCACTGTGGTGACGCTGGTGAGCACCACATGCTCAGAGAGTTTGGAGACGGAGCATCGGCTCTGCAAGGACAAGGACTTGTGGCTGGCAGAGGAGCGGGGACTAGGGGCCTTCAGAGAGCCGCAGGGACCCGGGCCAGGCAGGCAGCAGGAGAAGGCAGCCTTAAACTGCTCCCGGAATTTGCCTTGGTTGGGAGACAAAAGACACAGCCATAAGGAGACAGATGCAGCAGGAAGGGGCCTTGAGCCCAGGGACACCCACGCAGCTCCAGCCAAGCTGCCTGTGAGGAGGCGGGGAGGGAGGGAGGGATAGAGCTGGGAGGGAGAGCCCTGAGGCAACCTCAGCACCGCCAGGGAGAGAGGACAGAGGCCCTGGAGCGGGTTCCCAAGGAGAGACGCAGTTGCCATCTGATTCCTTGACTGCGCTCTGGCTCAGAGGCTGGCTCAAAACGTGGTGTCTGGCTCAGGGGCCTCAGGTCACCTCTGCTCTCCTTGGTGTGTACATGGGGGTCACTATCTGTTGCTAGGCTTGTGCCCTCTCTGCCCTTTGATGATGAAAATGACAGTGGCAGCAGCCCTTTTGCATTTGGCAGTCACGCTGTGCCGGGCGCCTCAGCCTCTGTTCCCCAGAGCATCCCAGCATCCTGAAAGACTGGAGTCCTTTATCCTCACTTCACAGATGAGATGCACATAGGTACCGTGGCTTGCCCAAGGCCACCCAGCCAGAAGCTGAACCCAATTCTAATTCCAAAGCCCTTCTCAAGGGGGAGGAGGGAAGGAGGGACCGCCACACCACCTTGTTCAGCCCAAGTATACCACGGAAACAGATTTTGTCAGGCTGAAGCCCCTTTGATCATGTGTCATTAGCCTGCCAGCCTCTCTGGTGCCCAGCACAGGGCCAGGCACACAGTAGGTGCTCAGTAAACATAGGCCAAACAAAGGCATATGTATCAGTAAGTCTGTCTGCCCTCCCCTCCCCACAGAGCTCATCTTCTGTTCTCTTTTCTGAGCTGGAAACCCGCAGCCAGCCTTGTTGAGTAATTCTTGAGTCTCAGTGAGGGTTATACTATTGACTCCGGATCCCTTCTTTAACCTTTTAATAGTTCCTCAAAGATTATTTCTGTCCAGGCTCGAACAGTCATCTGGACCTGTTCTTTAGAAGTCTAGTCCCAAAGTCAGAGGGCTGATGAGTCACACTTCTGCTGAGCTCAGCCTCAGGGCCATTACCACCCTGAGACTGGGAGGTAGAGGGAGGGAGTGGGCACTGGGACAGCAGAGAGGAGAGGCCTGGAGTGGGAGTGGGAGCGGCAGGGGAGGAAGACTTCCAGAGGGGACAACCCCTGAGATTCTGGTCGCTCTGCCAGTGTGTCTAGCTGAGCGGGGGAAGCCCTTTCCTGGGCCTGGCCTATCTGCCAGTGACCCTCCTTTAGCCCTGACACCTGGACTGTGCAATCCTTCCTCAGGCAGGGGCTCCAGGGCCCTCCTCCCACAGGTCTGACTCCCTCTGGGGAGGGTGGACTCCTCTGCCTGTGCTGATTGGAGGTCTTGCTGTGCCTGCACCCGTGGTGGGAGTGGGGGGTGAACTGACCTAGCCCCTGCCCTTCCACTCACTCACTGGTCTGCAGAATCTGCACAACTGGATCCTGGGTGCCAGCCACCGTGGGGAGTGTGGCCCGTCTCCCACTCAGGGCAGGGCTCCTCGGGGTGGGTCCTCCCAGAGCAGGATCACTGTGCCCACAGCAGATACATCCTCACCCACCGTCCTTTATTTGGGCCCTGGCTTGGGGATGGGGAGACTTGTCATGTGGACTGTTGGCCACCCTCAGTGAGTTTGCATCCCCAGCCTGCTCACCACTGAGGAAGTTGTAGATGATGGGGTTGGCAGCACTGTTGGCGTACACCAGCCAGTGGGAGAAGGTGAAGCAGGCGTAGACAGCTTCGCGGTCACTGGCTTGGCGGAACATCCCGAACACCCTAGGCCCAGGGTAGAGGAGCGTCAGAAGTGGAGTAGCTGTGTGCGCGTGTATTGGGGGAGTGCTGCTCACAGAACCTGAGCTGTAAAGGGCAAGAGTTCCTGCTGCCCACTTCCGTCCACATTTCCTGCCTTCTGTACCTGAGGTCTTGGCCAGGCTTTGGGGTTCTCAAGCATGGAGGGTATCAAGCACTGCGATGGGCATCTCTAGCCTCCTGGCCATTGGATCCCCTAGGGCTTCCCATCCACTTTCTCATCCATCCTCACAGCAACATGATGAGTCATAGACATCATCCATTTTTCTATTAGGGAAACTGAGGCTCAGAGAAGTAAAGTGACATGCCGAAGATCACACAACCAGGAGGTGGCCAAGCACAGTCTCAAAGTGAGACTGTCTTCTGTCCGATAGCCTGCATTCTCTCCCCGGCGCCCTGTGACCCTCTTTTGCTGTCCCTCCAGACACATGCATGGTTAGCTCTCTCACTTCCTTCAAGTCTCTGCTCAGAGGTCATTTCCTTGGAAAAGCTTTTTTTTTTTTTTTTTCTTTTGACAGCTCTGTCACCCAGGCTAGAGTGCAGCGGTGCAATCATGGCTCGCTGCAGCCTCAACCTCCTGGACTCAGGCTATTCTTCCACCTCAGTCTGTGTAGCTAGAACTACAGGCACATGCCACCATGCCCGGCTAATTTTTTGAATTTTAGTAGAGATGAAGTCTCATTATATTGCTCGGGCTGATCGTGAAGTCATGGCCTCAAGCGATCCTCCCTCCTTGGCCTCCCAACATGTTGGAATTACAGACGTGAGCCAATGCACCTGGCCCCCTGCTTTTTTAAACCATTATATCTAAAGCAAAAGCAAAAACCCACCAACCCTTGTCATTGTCACTCTCTGTCCTATTTTATTTTTCTTCCCAGCAGTTGTCATTTCCTGACATTATAATATACATTGATTTTTCTATTTACTTCCCTTCTCTCCCGCTAGAATGCAGCCTCCATGAAGGCAGGGACTTTGTCTGTCTTGTGCACTTGTTCACTGTATTTCCAACCCCCTAAAATGTGATGATTAAGTGAATAAATTTTCACAATAGCCCTAGGAGACAGAGGCTCAGAGAAGAGAAATGGCCTGCCCAAGGTCACATAGTGGAGAAGGGGTGGAGCCAGGTCTTTCTCCCAAGCAAGGAGAGCTCCTTCCCCAACCTCAAACTTCTCCCCACCCCAACCATACCCCAGGCTCTCACCTCTTAAGGACATTGAGGACACTGATGGGCAGGTAGCAGAGGGCAAAGACCAGCAGCACCACCATCAGCATCTTGGCTGTCTTCCTCCGCGCACGCATCTGCTTCACTTCAGCCAGGAAGGCACGGGCCCGGGGCTGGGGCTGTCCACTCAGGCCCTGCTCCAGGTCCCCCAGCTGGTCTGAGGGGCGCTTCCAGTTTCGCACCAGTGCTGAGGTGGTGCCGGGAATCTGTCCAGCACACATAAAGACAGCAGCGGTGGGTATAGCACCTTGGGAGGGTGGTTGCCTTTTGTGGGGCCCACTCCAGGCTGGACCCTGGGCAGGGTGGAGATGGGCAAAGGGATACAACCTTTGCGAGAGGAAGGAATCTGATGTTTATGATAAAGACTAACACTCTGGACTTGAGAGTGAATGATAGACTTTCATTTTCTTTTTTTTTTTTTTTTTTTTGAGATGGCATTTCGCTCTAGTCACCCAGGCTAGAGTGCAATGGTACGATCTTGGCTCTCTTCAACCTCAGCCTCCCGAGTAGCTGGAGTTACAGGTGTGTGCCACCACACCGGGCTAATTTTTGTATTTTTAGTAGAAACGGGGTTTCACCACATTGGCCAGGCTGGTCTTGAACTCCTGACCTCAGGTGATCCGCCCGCCTCAGCCTCCCAAAGTGCTGGGATTACAAGTGTGAACCACTGTGCCCAGCCTAGACTTTCATTTTCCATTAGCTCTTTTGTGAAACCCCCTACAACATGCCTTGTGGAAAGATATTATTGGTCCTTAGGGATAGATGAGGCAACTAAGACTCAAAGAGGTGGGGACCCTTGACAAGGCCCCAGGCCACATCCTCTCAACTGCCCATCCATCCTCCCTAAATCTCCAACACTGTCTTTGAGAGTAGGGGTGGGGGTGAGTTGTGCCTCCTCTGGGTCATACCAGACTGTGAGGAGCTCTGGGCAAGGGGTGGGCAGGTGGGCAGCATGGAATGGCCTGGACCAGTGCCTATAAGCCTGGAGTGGTTCTGGGCTCCTGGAGAAGCCTCTCCTGCCACCGGACACTCGAATCACCCACCACAGAGGGGCATGGGGCTAGAGTTCCGGAAACGTGGGTCTAGAGCCAGCTCAGACATTTGTGAGCTATGTGACCTTGGCCACCTCATTTTCCCTTTTTTTTTTTTTTTTTTTTTTTTTTTTGAGACGGAGTCTCGCTGTGTCGCCCAGGCTGGAGTGCAGTGGCCGGATCTCAGCTCACTGCAAACTCTGCCTCCCGGGTTTTTACGCCATTCTCCTGCCTCAGCCTCCCGAGTAGCCGGGACTACAGGCGCCCGCCACCTCGCCCGGCTAGTTTTTTGTATTTTTTAGTAGAGACGGGGTTTCACCGTGTTAGCCAGGATGGTCTCGAACTCCTGACCTCATGATCCGCCCGTCTCGGCCTCCCAAAGTGCTGGGATTACAGGCTTGAGCCACCGCGCCCGGCCCTCATTTTCCTTTCTAAGCCTTGCTTTCATGTCTGTCAAATGAGGAGGATCGTGCCTGTGTCCTGCTTGGCTGGGGGTTCTGTGGGGAGCAGGTGATGAGTGTTGGTGGACTGCAGGGCTGGCCAACCAGGAAGGGCCCTGCTGGATTGGGTGCTCCTCCAAGGCAGGACCTGGGTCACAGCCAGTCCGTGTCCCCACCCACTGCCCGGCATGGCCTGGGCGCAAGCCAGTACTTCCTGTGGAATGTAGGTGACGTCCCCAGGTGTGAGAGTCCCTTCCTGAGCCTGGTCATGTTCTGGCCTGCCTTTTCTTACCGCCCAGACACCAGTCCAGGACTCCCACTCACTAGGCCAAGGGCCTCTGAGCACCCCTGCCCCAAAAAAACCGAGGAAACCCACCGAGGGTCAGTCTGTAATGCAGGAAAGAAGACAGGCCCTGGAACCAGAAGGCTCTGCTGCTGTTGAATCTGGCAAGTTGGTTGCCCTTATTTGGCACATGTGACGTGGGTAACGTTGCTTCTTTTGTTAGAAGTTGTTAAGACACTGGATGCAAAGTGCCTAATTTGGCAAGCAACACGGAGTTGCTATTATTATTGTTGCAGTGGTACTAAACTCAGCAGTGGAAGCTCACGGATCTGGGCTTTAGTTCCTGATCTACTCACTAGCTGAGTGGTTTGGGGGAAGTTACGTTGATCTTCTGGGTCTCGGTTTTCTCATATATTTAATGTGGGTAATATATGGTGGCTAAGAGGATGCAAGACTATCTGGGAGTAGATACTTCAATAAACAGCAGCCACTAATATTAGAAGGATGTGTTACTATTCCATTCCAGGGTAGCCACTGGTGCTTTTGGCCTTGAGTTTGATGTGTCTCTGGGCTTCCCCTCTCTTTGGTTGCAGCCAAGATGGCACGTGCTGATGGCAGAGGACTGTCTACTCAGACCAGTAGCACCCCCACCCCCAGCCCACACAGTGACACCAGAGTGGGCCTCACCTGGCGGCCCCAGAGCTTGCGGAATATCTGGAAATAGGCCATGGCCATGAGGCCCAGTGGGGCCAGGTAGGTGACAATGAAGAAGCAACTGTGGTAGATCTTGGGATATAGGTCATCTGCAGGGGTCAAGAGATGCAGAGTCAGGCCCAATCCGCGAGCCCCACCCTTCCCTGGTTAGCAATGCCACCCTGTCCTGACTAGGGTCAAAGCAAGGCCTAGGAGCAGCTGGACCCCATACAGCCACCATGACAGACAGAGACCCTGGAGTTGTCCAACTTGGGGTATCCCTCCTGGAAGGATGTCTACACTAGAGCAGATATCTGCATGAGGGGAGGCACCCACCCTGGGAGTATCCCTGGTAGGAGCCACTCTAGGGTGTCCCCTGGGGAAATACCTGCCCTGCGATTTCCCACTTTGGAAGGGACCCTGCTAGATGCTTGCCCTTGGGGTACGTGCTCCCGAAGTGCCCACCTGAGGGGATGCCTGCTTGAGGCTTCCACCATTACCTGCCCAGCGTTCATCACAGACCGAGAAGAGCCGTGTGCGGTTGGCTAGCTCGGGCAGCACACTGCTGCATTCCATGACTGCAGCCTGGGGCACCATGACAGTCAGCGACACAGCCCAGATGCCCAGGATGGAGCCACGGGCCCGCCGGGCTGTGCTCTTGAACAATAGTGGGTGGCAGATGGCATACCAGCGGTCCAGGGCGATGAAGCTGAGAGTCAGCACTGCCACTGACACGGACACGGCCTGCCCCACGGGGACACAATGTCAGTCATTTTGGGGGCCACCCAGAGATGTGAGAGTAGGTGAGTGAGGAGGCTGACGGCAGGTGCAGGGCAGTGCAAATCCTGACTCCACCACTTACTGGCTGTGTAAATGTGGGCAAGTCACTCACCGTCTCTGAGCCTTGTCTACAGAATGGGTTTATACCATCTACCTGGCAGGATTGTTGTGCGAGTAAGTGAAATCATGTGTAAACAATGTCCAGCTGGCACATGGTAGGTGGACCCCTCGGGTGAATAATAACTTGTACCTATGTAACTTACTGTGTGCTGGGCACTGTTCTCTTCATCCTCATGGCAGTCCCACAAAGTAAGTGCTCTTGCCCCCCTGTTACAGATGAGGAAACAGGCACAGAATTCCCTCATCCATCTGTCTTTATGCTCAGGGTCACCAGAGTTAACCGGTTGAGTGGGAAGCCTCAAAACTGGGAAATCCAAGAGGCATTTATCTCTGCCATGGAATGCAATCCCTACCCCAGGCTGTTAGGAAAAAACCCTCATTCTGGGAGACGGAGATGAGTCTGGGCCACAGGTGTGTAGGCATTGCCTCTAGGGGTACCCCCTGCCCTCTGGGGTGCAGGAAGTGGATCACAGGATACAAACTGAGAGAAGCCTTCTTCCACCCCACTAACCCCATCTGGACATCCTGGTTTCCGCCACTGGGGTCTTTCCTGGCCAGTGCAGGAGGGAGAGGAGAAGGCTGTTTCCATCAGGCTCCTCACGTCTGCCCCTTTGGGATTGGGGAGCAGGCCCAGGGTGTTGTGTATGTGTCACTGTGGGCTGATGCCTCTTTCCTTGACTGTGTGCCTGTGTACCTGGAGGTGACTCTATGTGTCCACACGTGCCTATGTATACGTCTGTGGCTGTGACCAGGAGGGGATCTCTGTGATTGTGTGGGGTTGTGTCTGTGTCCTGGAGTGTCCGATCTGGTGGCTTGCCCTTGCTAGCAGCAGAGGATGACACTTCAGGGGTCACGAGCCACTGACCTGTCTGAAAGGCAAGTCTGAGGGTCACTGAGACCTACGCAAGGCCGTCGTTTTTGTACAGGTGTGACAAGGAGTGGTGAGGGGTGCCTGGGCAGAGCTCACCTGTAGATAGGGGATGACCTTGCAGAGGGCATGGCCGAACAGCCAGGACTCAGTGATGTCCACCAGCAGGCTGACCGGCAGGCAGATGGCAGTTACCAGAACGTCAGCCAGGGACAGGTTGACGATGAAGTAGTTGGTGACTGTCCTCATGTGGTGGTTCCGCCACACGGCCAGGCAGACTGCAGGGTGCAGCGGGGTGAGGTGAAGCTGATGGCAGAGCCACACCCATCCTAGTTCTGCCCAATCAGCGAGCCCCTCCCCACATACACCCCCCGCCTTCAATCCCCAGGGAAAGCCAGCAGCACTGAAGGGCAAGCGCTGGACCTACCCAGCGTGTTGCCCACCAGGGCCACGAGGAACACAGCCACATAGGCTGCGATGAGGACCCACTCGTACTGTTTTGGGTACAGATAATCGCGCCACAGATAGCGGAGAAACTCATCTTCATAGTCTGGAGGCACAGGGGATGGCTCCCTGCTGCCAGTGGGGACCCGCATCTGGGCCCCTGGGGTGGCTGAGGGCTCCATGAGCTCAGGAGCTGCTGCGGCGGAGGGGCATCCTAGGCTCTGCAGAGGGGGAGGAGGGAACTTGGGCCAGCCCGCAGCCCACTCCCCTCAGGGTGCCTGGAGGCTTGCACCCAGTTCTTTTTGGAGCTCAGCCCCAAACTTCCTGAAGGGAGGAAGGAAAGGAGAGAGTGGAGAAAGAGAGAAGGAAGGAAATTAGGGAGTGTGCCAGGTGCTTTGCATATAAGTTCCCTCTTAATTCTCACAGTCATGAAATTGGTGGAAGAAGACAGACCTGAGTTGCATCCCAATTCCACATCAGTTGCCTTGGGTAGCTTACCTGGCCTCTTTCAGCCTCGGCTTCCCCATCTGTCTAATGGGGTGACAGCCCTACTTACCTTACAGGGCCGGGATGAGGAGTAATGAGCTCCGATGCGTGCCAAGTGCTTCACCAAGAACCTGGTACAAGAAGGTAGTTTAGGGGACGTTTTGGGTTACCATTATTAGGGTACCCTGCTTTGCAGATGAGAGGGAAGCTCAGTGAGATTGAGTCTCTTGCTCAAGGTCACAAAGCTCCTAAGCCAGGTCTGTTCGAACCCATCAAACACCATAGATTTGAGAGGATAAGCCATCCCGATTGCAAATATTTCTTGAGCCAGTTCACAAGCTTTAACTTTGGGTTGGGAAAACGGGCCAAAGGAGGTGTTAAGAGACCCAAGCCCCACCCGCCATACCTGCCAGACCCTCCGGTGGGCACGCGCGCACACGCACACATACAACACACACACAATGTGGGTGGTGCGCGGAGGGACTGACGACCCCTTGGGAGCAAGGGGAGCGGCCAGGCCGCTAAGAAGCCCCCTTTGGGTCCCCAGGGCCGCGACGCTCCCCGACGGCCGCCAGGAGGCGCTGTTCCGGCGCGCGGGCCGCTCTCCATTCATAAATCCAGCCAGCCCAGCTCCCCGCCCCTCCCTCCTCCCGCACTCAGCCCCTCCTTCCCCCTGCTGGGCTAAGACGACCCCGGCCGGGTGCCGGAGGGTTGCGGATCCCTGGAGACCCCTGGGGAGGGTGAGGGGACGCCTTCATACCCCACTGAACGCCGGCAGGCCCGCCCCGTCCACGGGACCTTCCTGCACCTCGGGGGCTGCGGGGGACTCCTGGAAGGCACGGGGAGCGAGGGCACTCGGAGCCTGCCTGGAGGAGAGCAGCGCTGGCCGAGGAGCCAGTCTCCCAGCACCCAGGTTACCCCCCGAGACTCTTGGCTCCTCCCATCCCTCGCCGCGGGTCCTTTGGAACCCCCATCCCGGGCCTGGGGGTCCCCCACACCCCGCACCTGTTGGCTCCGGGACCCGGGTGTTCTCGGCTGCTGGTACCCGGACCTGGCATCGGGGACTTCGCCTTCCTACGAGGAAGGCCGAGCCTCTGGGGGCCGGGGCTGCGGGAGGGGGCCGGGGCAGCCCCCTCCCTAGGCTGCGCTGCCTGGGCTCGCGGGGCTGAGCGCGAGCCCCGGCAACTGCGCGGGCTGTGGTTCGGCGCGGGCTCCGCCGGGCTGCGCGCTGCGGGAAGGGAGGGCCGGCGGGAGGGGCAGGGCGGGGTGGGAGCCCCCAGACGGTCTTGGCTCCGTGTCTTCCAGCCCCGAGACCCGCAGGGCGGAGGGAGACGCTCGTTTCTTCTCGTCTCCCACTTCACGCTTCCATCCCACCTCCATTCATGCGTCCATCCGTTCATTCATTCCATCCTCATTCATTCAACACTTATGCCCCTGGCCACCCCGCATTCTGGGCGCACTTAGTGTGTGCCGGCGGGCCTGGCAGCTTCGGAGGGCCACAGTGCAGAGGTGGAGCCCAGCCGCGCCTCTCCTTGCTGCCTGACATAACTGAGGAGGAGGATGGCACAGGTGGGTCACAGGGATGAGACAGAGAGGACGCCTGCACCGCCTCCAGCCCAGCTCCAGATGCTGCTGGAACAGCTAGCTCCCAACGATGCCAGAGAGCCCTTCTCTCCCATCTCCCAATCCCCCAACCTATCTGCCCCCAATTCTTCTTTTTGTTATACCTACTGTTGCCCCCAAAAAACAAGGACACTGATGGGGACAGAAGTGGGGGTTCGTTAATTCCACAAATAACGATTTATTAAGCTGTGTGCCAGGCAATGAGTTATAATAATACAGCTACCATTTGTATAATGCACATGATGCCTGATCTCATTTAATCTTCATATTAGCCTGGTGAGGTGGTCGTTATTGTCCCCATTTTAGAGATGAGGACACTGGACCCACATGGGGCAATGACTTGCCCAAGGTCGCACAGCAGAGGCAGAGCGGGGCTTCAAGCCTCTGCCCCTCTCAGGCCTATGAGCCTCTCTCACCAGACAGAGGCTCCCTCACCTGCTGGCTCCCTCCCTCCCTCTGGCTGCTGGGGGAGGCAGGTGTACACCCAGGCAATTAACCTGTGGTGTGAGGAGAGTGTGAGGGCCCTGGGAACTGTGGGGCACGGGAGGACAGACCGACTCAGCCAGGGCATGAGAACAGGCTTCCTGGAGCAGGGGCATCTCCATGGAGACCTGAAGAATAAGAAGGTAGCCCTGCAAGGGGGATCGTGGTATTTGAGGAAGGTATTCAAGGTCAGGAAACAGCAGGTGCAAAGGTTTGAAGGTTGGGGATTCTGGAAATCACAGGTAGGTGAAGGGTGACTGCCTGAGCATCATGCAGTCACCTTGGCCATCCCTTACCTCAGGATAGGACCTTCCTAACACGTCACCCTCTGAAACTCACACTCTTTCCCTCCTGGGAGGTGACTCCTGGGATGTAACCACCATCTTTCCCGTTGCAGCCAAAGCCCTTTTCAAAGGCTCTGGAGATGCACTGTTAGGCATAAGAGGTGTGGGAGAGGAACTGGAGCAGCCTAAGGGAGGGGGCCAGTGACCTTCACCTCTGCAGAACAGGAGGATGGACTGAAGCTAAACTCAAGGCAGAACTTTGTCCTTGGGCAGGTATGGCATCTGCATGGTGGGTGATATCCTGCCTGCCCTAGGTGCTGGCCAAGGTAGGAGAATGAGTGAAGAGACTCAGAAGAGGGGCGGGTGTGTGTGTGTGTGTGTGTGTGGGGGGGTGCGTGCATGTCTGCATATGTATGCATGCGTGTGTGTTTGTGTTTGAGTCTTGAATTCAAGTAAGGGCAGTGGTGTGTGTCTAGGGAATCCAGTGTGTTTGTGTCTGACTGTGCATATGAGCAGGGGATGGGCTCTGGGTTGATGACTGGAGGTCACCCTGGGTGGGATGTGTCTGTCTGGGTCTTGATCTGTCTCTGTGTTTTGGTGTCTGTGAGGAATGTGTATGTGTGAGGAGATGTCTGTTTCTCAGTGTGGATCTGAATGTTCAACTGTGGCTTTGACTAGCACTGGCCCCCCAGTGTGTTTCCCTGTGAGTGAGGGAATGTGAGTGTGGCCATGCCTTTGTGTGCAAGGCTATGTGAGTGTGTGTATGTGGAACTTGGTACATCTGTTCCTACAGCAGTGACTCATCTTATCCCCCACATTCTCCCCCCAACCTGCAGCTGTGACTGTTTGCTATGTAGGGGCTGAAGAGGGGGCTGCAGCACGTGGGGGGGATGGGAGGCAGATCGTGTGGGACACTCCAATGACAGCTGCGGCAAACAAGGTGCAGCCAGCGGTGTGGAAGGTACAGATTCATGTTTTTCTGTGTGGGCGGTAGGCACCGGCCAAGCCCAGCACAGCCCAGGCTTAGAACCTAGCCCAGAGTGCAGATCTCCATATTTCAGGGCTTCACAGATACCACGGGTTGGAGTGGGCAAGGGGCTCGCCAGGCTCTCCCAAGTCATGATACAGAGTGGTGCATGTCTATGTAGGGAGGAAATCATAGCTGGGAATTCCCCCCAATATACAATTTCACAGAGTCAGTCCCATCTCCACTTAAGAGGGATCTCAATTGCTAACCTTCCCCCACCCTTTATCCCTTGGTACCCCGAAGATGGCTGCTCCCCAGGTCAAGGGATCCTGAGAGATTCCTGCCATCACAAGCAACAGATCTCCCTGTCTCCCCTAGCAGACCCTGGCCAGGCATTTTCAAGTCAGCAGCAGGAGCCAGGGCTGTGGCCTGGAGGCACTAGGCCTCGCAGCCCCTCTGGTCCTGAATCTGGCCTATTTCGCCACAGCCTAAGGGTGGGAGAGACCAGTTATTTGGCCTAGATGGGCATGAGAGAGAGTGGGTGTATGCTCAGAGAAAATCCTGGGGGCAGGGCAGTGGGAACCAGCAGTGCTCTAGAAGACCTACAAGAAGCTGCCGGATTTTGGTCCTCAGCACAACAGCACTGGGCTCTGGGAACTCTGGCAAAATGCCCATGTCTAAGGGAGGGCCCCAGGGACCTCAGGTCCTCCATGTCCAGGCTGGGCTCCCAGCCCTGGCGCCTCCTCTGCCCAGGGAGGACTGGCCTCAAGGCTTTGCTGTGCTTGAGCTGTCTGTCAACAGGGGCCCACATGACCTCTTTCCTGGAACCAGCCAGCCCCAGCCTTGTTGATCTAATCCTGAGCCTCTGAGCCACAGGTCCCTGTCATATCCATCTTCAAGTGTCACCCTAGGCACTGGCCCCAGGTGCTACCTCCTCCTCCTTCCCAATCCTGCTGTGACTTACAGTAACCTCTGTCTGGCTAAGACTAGAGTAATTGGAATGTAATTGGGTTTCCTCTTGCTAATGCCGCTACAGACCTGGGAACGTGGATAGGAAAACTCTGGAGAAGGCAGAGGTGCTTTGTAGAAGAGCAGAGATCAGGCGCAGGCCGAGGTGTGGGGTGGGTGAGGGGAGGCCAGCAGAGATGGGCTGTGCTGTGGGAAAGGGGGATTCTGAGGGCAGAGCCTAGGGAGACCACTGAGCAGCTGCAGTGTTTTGGTCTTTGGCCAACAGCAGTGGCCTCTGGGAGCTCATGCCCAGGAAGGGACACAGAGACCTCCTGTTCCCCATATCCAGGTCCTCAGCCTTTGTGCCTCTTCTCCTCTGGATGGGCCCCCTCCTTCAGGGTCTGGGTGACTTGAAGGAGACAGGCAGCCACTAGGAGAGGAGGAGCCCGGGACCCAGAGTCAGGCTTTCTCTGTGACTCCCAAAGCTAGAGATCATTTTCCCTTTTTGTTTTGTTTTGTTTTTTGAGACAGAGTCTTGCTCTGTCACCCAAGCTGGAGTGCAATGGCATGATCATGACTCACTGCAACCTCCACCTCCTGGGCTCAAGTGATTCTCCTGCTTTGGCCTCCCAAAGTGCTGGGATTACAGGTGTGAGCCACCGCTCCCGGCCTAGAGAACATCTTCAAGTCAGTGGCAGGAGCCAGGGAGAAGGGACTGGAGCCGGCAGCCTTCTGTCTGTCCCCTTACCCACATACTCACTCAACAAACTCGGAGACTGGGTAGGCTGCAGAGACGGAGACTCTCCTGGTTAGGCTAGGGAGACCCTCAAGGAGACGAGTGGACAGGGGTGGTGTGAAATGCATCAGGATGGAGCTTGTGGAGGCAGGGTGGGGGCGGAATGGGACAGCACAAACAACAGTGCGCGGAAACCACAGAAAATACATCTCCACCCACCCGCCCCCACCCCGCCCCTGGTGTTGAGGGGAGGTCAGGAGCCAGGATTTGGGGTCAGGAAGACTGGGATTAGACCGCCACTCTGCTGCTTACTACTGGGTGATCTTGGGCTGGTCACTTCCTTCATCTCTGTGATAGGCTGAATAATGGCCCCCAAAGATGTCCACGTCCTAAACCCCAGAACCTGTGGCTATGTTCCATGGCAAAAGCGGCTTTGCAGATGTGGCTAAATTAAGGGTCTTGAGATGAGGAGTTTATCCTGGATTATGCAGGTGGGCCCAGTGTGATCACATGGTCCTTATAAGAGGGAGCCGGGAGGGTCCGAAAGAGAAGACAAGATGATGAAGAGGAAATGCAGCCCTGCCAACCCCTGGATTTTAGCCCCACAAGACTCATTTTGGACTTCTGACTTCTAGTGCCATAAGAGAATAAACTTATGTTGTTTTTATTTGTGTATATATACACATATATATATACATATAATGTATACACGTGTGTGTGTGTGTGTGTGTGTATATATATTTATATATATATATATATTTTTTTTTTTTTTGAGACGGAGTCTCGCTCTGTCACCCAGGCTGGAGTGCAGTGGCCGGACCTCAGCTCACTGCAAGCTCCGCCTCCCGGGTTTACGCCATTCTCCTGCCTCAGCCTCCCGAGTAGCTGGGACTACAAGCGCCCGCCACCTCGCCCGGCTAGTTTTTTGTATTTTTTTTAGTAGAGACGGGGTTTCACCGTGTTAGCCAGGATGGTCTCGATCTCCTGACCTCATGATCCGCCCGTCTCGGCCTCCCAAAGTGCTGGGATTACAGGCTTGAGCCACCGCGCCCGGCCTTTTTTTTTTTTTTTTGAGACAGAGCCTCACTCTGTCACCCAGGCTGGAGAGCAGTGGAGCAATCATGGCTTACTGCAGCCTCGA